TGTGTTTATAGAAACCTGGGGTTGCAGGCTTTCCGAACCCCCAAAACTCGACTCTGCCTTCTGTCTGATGCTGCAGAGGTGAAGTCTGAGGCCAGGCTGACTTGTCCTTTATAAATAAGCTTTCCCCCTGATAATTTGTGGAGTCATTTTCCTTAAAGTTAGAACTTTACCGGAATACACATCAGAGTTTTGCTGTGTTTTATGATTTTTTTTTTCCTGATATGACTTTTGCATTCTTTTGAAATACAGATTTGTTTTTTTTTTTTTAACTCAAGAAATGTTGTTTTCTCATATTGAACATTGCTTCTGTTACATTTGTTTTGGCATCTTGTTTGATCCCTGAGTTGGGAAGATTCCCCTGGAGAAGGGAAAGGCTACCCACTGCAGTATTCTGGCCTGGAGAATTCCATGGATTGTATAGTCCATGGGGTTGCAAAGAGTCAGACATGACCGAGTGACTTTCGCTTCACTCACAGATACGAGTTTTCCTGGTGCTGTATCATGGTGTCTGTCTTTAATATCTGCCACCTTTCACAATTTTCATCTCGATCCTCTTCCTCTGAATCCTTGGGAACTTGTGCACACTTGCCCTGTGGTTGCTAAGTTGCTTTTCTGCATTGTTCGTTTAGCTATTACTGTATCAAATGCACTTGAACTTTTTTATGTTGGAAAATAGTTGATTCACGATGTTGTGTTAGTTTCAGGTGTGCTTACGTGCTCAGTTACTCAGTCATGTCCGATTCCGTGACCCCATGGACTGTAGCCTGCCAGGCTCCTCCATCCATGGAATTTTCCAAGCTAGAATACTGGAGTGGGTTGGCATTTCCTTCTCTGGGGGATCTTCCTGACCCAGGGATTGAACCTACATCTCCTGCATTGGCAGGCAGATTCTTTACCACTGTGCCACCTGGGAAGCCAGTTTCAGGTGTATAGGAAAGTGATTTAAAGTATCTATGTATTCATATATCTATTCTTTTTCAGGTTCTTTTCCCATATAGATTATTATAGAATATTAAGGATAGTTATCTGTGTTATACAGTAGGTCCTTGTTGATTATCTGTTTTATATAAAGCAGTGTGGCTATACCAATTGCAACTCCCAATACATTCCTCCTCCCCACCTTCCCCCCTTGACAACCACAAGCCCACCTCTAACTCTCTGAGTCTTTTTCTCTCCTGTAAACAAGTTCACCTGCATCATTTTATTGGATTCCACGTATAAGTAATATCATATGTAATTTGTCTTTGTCTGACTTCACTTAATATGATAATCTCTAGGTCCATCTATATTGCTGCAAATGGTATTATTTCATCCTTTTTAATGGCTGAGCAATATTCCATCATGTGTCTGTATCATGTCTTCTTTATCCATTCATTTGTCAATGGACATTTATCAAATGCATTTTTAAATGGTTTGATTTCTTTCTGCCTCTACACCAGAATCATTTTCATATCTTTTTATTTTCATCTTGTCTATGTTTTTGTTTCATGATGTCTGCCTTTTTCTTCAATTTTGTTGAAAGTACAAAGCAAATGCTATTGGAATTGACTTCTATTTCCTTTGGTAAATCACTTTCAAAAGCATAATTGTGCTCTGTCCATTTATGATGCAGTTTTCATAGGCTTCATACTTTTATCTTTTTATCATTTTTAATTCATGAGAGTTCCAGTCCAGGTCTGGCATTTCTTCCCCAGTAGAAAGCAGTGATTTCTCCTTATGATTTTCCTCCACATGGATCCTGAGCTGGAAGATTTTGCAGGTTCCTGGATTGGGTTCCCTGAGGGGCAGAGAAGGAAGGTGAGGCCATGGATTGTCCTAGCGCTGTGCTGTGACTTCTCCACAATTAATCAGGCCGTCAGCATAGGCTTCAAACACTCCAGATGTCCAGACCTCTCAAAACCAGTGAGGGTTATAAGACTTAGGACTTTTTTGTGCGCGAGTGACATTAAAACAAACTCAGGCTGGCTTGAGCAAAAGAGAACTTTTTATCTCATATCACTGAAAAGTTCAGGGGTCATTTGGGCTTCAGATCTGGCTGATACAGGGATTAACAACGCATCAAGCTTCTGTCGTTCCTCTGCCTTGTGTGCTGACTTCGTTCTCAGGCTCCCTGCAGGGGCATGATGCCTGCCGCAGTGTCAGCCCTCATATCCTTGCGATTCTGAATACACCAAAGAGAATATTTTCTTCTCTCCCGGCATTCCCAGGAAATGTCTGGTTGTAGATTCATTGGCTTCAGTTGGATCACATGCTCACCTTTGAACCACTCATCACATCTAAGAGGTGGGATATTCCCATTTCTCAAGCAGGGTTTGGAATCTGCCCCATGCAAATCCTACAAAAGAAACGTTGGGTTAGGTTAGTATAAAAAACAGTGAATGATAGTGGAACAAACAATAGATGCCCACTGTAGAAGGCTTTTCCACTTAATTCTGTGAAACCACTCTCCTTCCTCAGAGTGGTAAGTAGTGAACTGGCCCGGCAAGAAGATGATGTACAATTGGGTAGATCGTGTACTGTACAACCATCTCACCTTTAAAGGATCCCAAGTCATATCGTAGACATTATTTTATGGCTTCCCAACAGATAGAGGTATTGTTGCATAAAGATTGGTTAGGTGTGCATGCTCAGTTGTGTCTCTTTGCAACCCCATGGATTGTAGCCCTCTGCCCATGAGATTCTTGGGGCAAAATACTAAAGTAGGTTGCCATTTCCCACTCCAAGGGAGCTTCCTGACCCAGGGATCGAACCCACATCTCCTGCATCTTCTGCGATGGCAGGCAGACTCTTTACCTCTGTGCCACCTGGGAAGCCCAAAGCCTTACAGGCTGACATCAAATGGTAGGTGTCGAGAGGTATAGTTTACTCAGAGGTTCTTTCTACAAGCTGTAATTGCTTTCCTTAATCTACTAGTCCTGGTGCAGTTTCGTTAGCTTATTTTTGCATGTTTCAGTATGTAAATCCTCAATCCTGTGTCACTTCCAGAAATAGAAATCCCATTGCTGATAAAGGATTATTCTTGTCGCCTGGCCCTGAAACATATACCTTCCCTAAGAAACCAAAGCTTTTCCCATCCCTTAAAAAAAAAAAAATATATATATATATATATATATTAGTTGCTCAGTCATGCCCTACTCTTTGCAACGCCCATGGACTGTAGCCTGCCAGGCTCCTCTGTCCATGGGATTCTTGAGGCAAGAATACTAGAGTAGGTTGCCATTCCCTTCTCCAGGGGATCTTCCTGATTCAGGGATTGATCCCAGCTCTCCTGCACTGCCAGCAGATTCTTTACTCTCTGAGCCGCCAGGGAAGCTTCTCTTACTGCTTAGTTGTTGAGCACTTCTAGTGGTAAAGAGTGGTGGGAAGTCCATTCTGGGGTAGGTGGATTAGGCTCTGGAAGAAAAGGAGAGGTTCATATCCACTTCCATCTGATAGCTGACGTGTCATCAAGTCAGTAGTGACCTTAAAGTGCCCCAGAAAGTGGTAGTCCTGATTGTTCTCTGCCTTGGGCATGTCGTGTCTCTCCTCTGGGCCTTTACATGAGGGAGCAGCGCTGGGTCATTTCTGAAGGTGTTTTGCAGTTTTCAGCTGATGCCTCGGGATGTCATTCCAATGGAAGAGTAGAAACATTTCAACAGATGCTACATAGTCTCAATAACAACCCTTTATTCAATGATACTGTATATGAGGTATACAGTAGGTATTTTATACCCTAGTATTAACTACATCAGTTAATCCTTACAACTCTGCAGGTGTATATTACTATTACTTCCACTTTTACTTATTTATGTGGCTGCCTCGGGTCTTAGCTGCCACATGCAGGATCTTTCATTGCAGCACATGGACTCCCTAGTTGTGGTGCATGGGCTCGGCTGCTCCACAGCATTTGGGACCCTAGTTCCCTGACCAGGGATCGAACCCATGTCCCCTGTATTGCAAGGCAGATTCTTAACCACCAGATCACAAGGGAAATCCCTCACCCCCATTTCATAAGTGAGGAAAGGTAGAGAGATTGAATGACACCTGTTTGTATAATAAAAATTCAGTTTGCCCTCATACCTGTGACTTTACATGAGATTTCCTGAGTATAGTGATAAAAATAATATTGATTTTAATGACCGACATCTGTACAGCAAAAGTGGGTGAGCATGAGACATGGATCAGACAGGGCTGCATTCAGATTGGCCTTTGTTCCTTAATTCCTCTAACCCCCAGCTCTTATGTTTTCTTCTGTAAAGTGGAGATGGTAACACTTGCCTCACGGTCAGGAGGATAAAATGAGTCGATATGACCACTTGGCCATGATATAAGCTCTCAAGAAATGCTCCTCCTTGATTATTTACATGTTATTTACTTTTAACTTGGGTTTCCGCAGTTGTAATTTTTCACATAAATGAATATGAACTCTACTTGTTCCACATTTCTGGCATCTTTCTGCATGTGTGCTATCCAGCCACCATTTTCTTTATCCCAGCCTTTGCATGATTTCCCTTTAAGAAAGCCTTCTTGTTATTTCCACTGGAGCCTCTAGATGAGTATTTGAGATGATTTTAAAGCATAAACAGTGGAAAATGCGTTAATATCATTTCCTTTCCAGCCCCATTTCAAATGAAAGGAAAATGCGTTTGGGGAAAAATTCACTTACAACTTTGGCCAGATGCCCAAACTCTCAGAAGGGCCTGACAAACAGCAAAGTTTAACTCTCTCTAAATAAAATCCCCATGTCTCTGATTCTGCACTGGGGAAAGCTCTTACAGCGACCCATTTGCTAATGATAGCCCGGACATCGATAATGGAATGTGAAAGACAATCTTCTAATCAATTTTTTTTTTCTGCTGGTTTAGATTAAAGCACAGAAAATGCCCAACTGTTCCATCTGCTTTCTCTAAGATTTCTGGTGGGCTGAAGCCCAATTATGGCTGCCTTATCCATTTTTAATAATCTACTTATGATCATGCAAACACAGGGTGTGATTATACCCACGTCGGTTTCTGTTTCAGAGCTTCCATTTCCATCCATAATTAATAAGCCACTCGGTGCATCGGAGGGGAGCTGAAGGAGAGATGTGAGCGATTCGTAAGTAGGTAGGATAGCTTTTTCCATTGTCGTTCATTCATTCATTTTACAAACCTTTCCTGACATTGGCATGCTGGGAGCGGGGCTAGACACCAAAGTTAGAAGAATAAAATGCGCTGGGCCCCCTCAAGCACGTGTGGGCTGTCAAGGAGGGTGTGTAAGCACCTACATTCGTGGTGTGGACTGTGCTTGCTTTTCCACCAGAAAATTCAGCTGCTGAGACAACAAAATTCTTTGTTCTCAAATTATGAAGTATAGGATAATTAGATTACTATATTATTATAAATATAATTCTAAGAAGGCCTATTTTGGAATCAGTTTTTTCTGTTTCAGGGGGAGGGAGCTGTTCTGGGGAGGCAGTCAATTTAGTGAGGAGGCTAGAGTTGCTTTAAAGAACTTTAAAGTCACCCTCAGACAGCTGGGGTTCAAGTCCCTGCTTTCTACTGTGTGACCTTAGACAAGTTCCTTTCCCTCTCTGAGCCTGTTTCTGCATTGCACAATGAAGGAAATGCCCTCCTTGCTGGGCTTCTCTGTGATGATGTACTGAATTCGTTGGCTGGATTGTAAAGGGCTCCTTCAGTGTAATAAAGAAAACCCCAAATCTTGCTGATCAGAAATATGATAAAACCACTCTGTTCTTGGTTTCTGATTTTGTCTCTTCACCTAATGATCCCAGTCAAATATTACCCACACTCCGGGAAGACCCTTCCTGACCCTTCACACTCCCTAGCACAGAGTGTTTGGTAACATTCACAGTTACATGTTCTTGTTTGCAAACAATGCAGGCTGCCTCTAATAATTCTTAGCACAAAGGGGATCTGTGGGGAAAGACATTGAGAACTCGTAAATTTGCAGAAGGCTAGATAACTGAATTTAGTACATGTTCTGTGATTCTTTACTGAAAATGTAATTGAATCAGTAATTTACTGCTCATTCTCATGGTCGGGTATTCCAGCTGCCAGATCTCCTGACAGCCTTTCCGGGCTGCCTGCCCTCTTGCTTCAAAGACTTCCTTGTTGGGGCCAAAGTGGTCTTCTCCTGTCAAAGCTGACTTCCTTTTTTTTTTTTTCAATTGGAGGATAATTGTTTTACAATGTTGTGTTGGTTTCTGCAATACAACAACGTGAATCAGCCATAGGTACAGGTATGGCCCCTCCCTCCTGAAGCTTTCCCCCATCCCCCATCCCCCCCTCTAGGTCATCCCAGAGCACCGGGCTGAGCTCCCCGTTGAGCCCCCCATGTCATATAGCAGCTTCCCATCAGCTTACCATTTACATATGGTAATGTGTATGTTTCAATGTTACTCCCTTAATTCATCCCACTCTCTCCTGCCTCTGTTGTGTCTGCAAGTCTATTGCCTACATCTGCATCTCTATTCCTGCCTTGCAGCACCTTGCAGCACCATCTTTCTAGACTTTGTAAATATGCGTTCATATACGATATTTGTTTTCTCTTTCTGACTTACTTCAGTCTGTGTAACAGGCTCTAGGATCATCCACCTCCCTACAACTGCAGAATTGGCTTAGTCCAACTTAGAGGAAGTCTCTACTTCCCTTCAAAATTCCCACTGCCAGTCTAGATGGAAAACTCTGGCAATCTGTAGCCTGTGATTTATGGCTGCATTAAACCTACAAACATTCATCTCTGGCAGAAACTGAGCAGTCCCAAGTGAAATGGCAGGAACCAAAGGCTTTATTTCCAAGGAAGGAGACTTACTTTCCACTGGTCGGAAGGTTTCTTGGGGGAGGGGTGGTTGACCTAAGACCCCATGGTAGGTAGGGTGGGCAGGTGGAGAGTGAGCCTCCAGTTGGTTGCAGACCCGAAGAGTTTTGATGATGTGCCCCAGATCCTTCCAGCCTCCTTCCCACCCTGACAGCCTGCCACAGGGCTCATCCTTAAACATCCAGCATACACCTGCCTCAAGACCTTCCCACTGGCTGTTTGTACTGGAATGCCCTGCCCGATTAGCCACGTGACTTGCTTCCCTCTTTCGCTCAAATCCCTGTTTCACTGTGAGTGAGACTCCCCCTGAACATTATTTAAAATTACAGCCTCCCCCACCCCATGCACATCAGAACTCCCCATCCTGCTTCCGTACGTTATTTTCTTCATCGCAATTATGACTTTATACTATATAATTTAGTCTGGGGAAGTCTCTCTCCCTTTAGGCAGGAATTACCATCAGTTTTGTTCACTGCTGTCCTCAGCACCTAGAACCACCCCTGCTATATTTTAGGCTCCCAGTAAGTATTTGTGGATGGAATGGATGAAACAGCCCTAGTTTTGTCCTGGGCTTTGGATGTGCATGTTGCTTTTCTGGCCCCCAGAAGCCCAGCCCACTCTGGGTCCCCATCAGTGACACGAGGCTTGCAGGCAACCTTCTCCTCACCCTTGTCTCAGCTTATGGCTGAATCCAGTTGGCGGCTGCTGCTGAACGTGTTGACACCTGGCCAGGTGGTTTTTGTTTCAGAGGGGCCTGGGTACAGGGTTGTGCCCTGGGATGTCTGGGAGGTGAGGTGACAGGAAAACTGAGATCCTCAGAGCAGCCTCGGTCCTCTGTCTTCTTAGTGGATAGGCATCTGCACCATCATCCGAATACGAGTTTGTTTTTAGTCCAGAGCTGGGGAGGGAGCCTCCTTCCAGGAGTTGTGGGTCAATGGAACTTAATAAAATACAAAACTCCTACCATGGCCTCCAAGATCTTGGCTATTGTTGACTTCTGTGGCCCCTGGCTCACACCCTCCTCACTAGAGCCACAGGGGTCCCCTCTGCTTCCTGAACCCCCGAGCTCCTTTCCTGCCTCAGGGCCTTTGCACTTGATTCCTAGAGTGAGCTCTCTGCCCCCCAGTCCTGATTCTCTCCCATCATTCAGACCAGAGCCCAGTGTATCTATTGGAGAGACCTTTCTAAAGTAGCCTCTCCTCTCTGTGTGTTTTCTTCATGACATATTTCACTTACTTGTTTAATTTCCATGACTTGTCTCTCCATCCCTACCTTGGGAATGTGAGCTCTATGGAGTGGGCTGGGGGATGGGGGCAGTTCATTTATGACTATAGCTTCAATACCTGCCACAGCACCCTGCACTTAATTGGTCCTCAGTGAACAACCAGTCCATCCTAAAGGAGATCAGTCCTGGATGTTGATTGGAAGGACTGATATTGAAGCTGAAACACCAGTACTTTGGCCACCTGATGCGAAGAGCTGATTCATTTGAAAAGACCCTGATGCTGGGAAAGATTAAGGGCAGGAGGAGAAGGGGACGACAGAGGATGAGATGGTTGGATGGCATCACTGACTCAATGGACATGGGTTTGGGTGGACTCCGAGCATTGGAGATGGACAGGGAGGCCTGGGGTGCTGTGGTTCATGGGGTCGCAAAGAATTGGACATGGCTGAGTGACTGGACTGAACTGAAACATTCATCCAATGAATAAATGAATGAATGCACCAGCAGGCCTACTAGGCATTCTTGTCTTAGGATCTAAAGGTAACTGGTGTGGCTATGTTTCTCACTCATGAGGCAGGATTCTCCTTAGTTTCTTTGAAGAGAGTTGGCAGCAACAGTTGCAGACTGGTAGGATGTGGAGCTAGATGCAGCCTGTGGGTTTGTTGAAGGGGGTTGATTGGCCTCCTGCAGTGTTTAAAAGGCAGACTACCCAGGCACCTGTTATTCTTGAAATCCCAGCTGTTTAGCGTCAATTGTCTTACACTCTTCCCATCTCACACATCTCTGTTACCTGCCTGGCTCCTGCAGCATTCGAGCTTACCTACCCTAGACTGTTGGATCATTTTGGACTCAGAACTCAAGACACCTTTTCTGGCTTTTACAGCTGTCCTCTTGGATCCGAGTCTGTTCTCAGGAAGCTGGCTGGGGGGAACCAGTCTTCTCACGTGCCTCTGATGTTCCCGGGCTTGGGGTTCGGGGGATAGCAAGGTATAGCTGCTGGCTTTCGTCTTTGAAGGAGTTAAGCAAGGCTGACAGCTGAGAAGAAAAGAGAGTAAAGGTTTGGAACATCTCCTATGGGGATGCAAGAGGCAGCTCATGAGAGCAGGAAATGGGTCTGTTTTGTTCCATACTAATATCTTCTGCACCTAGCACAGCTTGGAAAACAGTGGATGCTGAGGAAATACTCAAGTACAATTTTTTAAATGGCCCTGGCTAAAATGACAGTGCTTCCTTTTGAATTTACAGTATCCCCATTTAGCTAGGTTTTATTACTTTCCCCCATCAGCTTGGTAAGAAAAGCAGAGAAAGCAGATGATGCTGACTTCTGTGTCCTGGGATGCCTTTAAAGATGCAGTGGGACAAAAAGAACAGTGTATGTGGGTGGCCCAATAAAAAATTCAACATACCTGCCAATACCAGTGTATCCTAAGGATTTCCTGGTGCAAGCTTCCTACTCTAATCAATGTGAAGTTGACAGCTGACAACTCACTCGGGGCAGAAGGCCTTTGGGCCCTCAAGATGAAGGTGTGTTGTCAAGCCTTCTGCAATGTGTTACCACGCATCCCCACCACAGGAATCCCAAGATCTCTGTGCTACCATCCGGCTTTGTCAGTCACAAGTATGCTGTTTGCATCTCTGTCCCCACATCCACTTCCAGGACTCACACATCCTTGCATGTCCAGCCCCCTTCCCCGTGGTAATTAGTTCAGGGTACCAGCTGAACCATTAGTGTGTGTGGCAGGACTTTCCTGCCAGAGTCATCAGGACAACTTCATTTTTCTACTGAACTTGCTGGGCTGATAAGATGCTTGGCTCTGGCACTTGGATAAGACTGGGAGGGAGTTGTGACTGGGAGGAGCAGAGAGGGGGCAAACTCGGGACTTCATCCAAACCCTCAGATCCAGCAGGGTCTGTGTGTTTCCATTCTGTGGCAAAAAATTCTCTCTCCATTTAAACCCTTTTGGTTTTGGTTTCTGTTGAGCTTGGCAGGGTTCCTTACTCATCAGAAAGCCCCCCTCATCAGAGCTCCTGTGACCAGGTTTTAAGACTTTGTTACAAATGCACATTTGTTACCTGGAGCACAGGGTGCTGGACAGTGAGGAGGGTCAACAGAAGGCCACAAGAGAAACGGAAACAGAAGTTAATTGCTCACCAGTCCTGGAGGAAGTACGAGACACACCTCCTAGGGCCACACCGGGAAGTCAAGGTAGGGTACAGGAGAGAGAGAGAGAGAGAGGACCTGCGAAATACACCTTTTTTAGGGGCCACTTGTGGAGTAATTTGGGGTTCCTAGGCTAAGGCCGGATGGTCAGTGTGAAGTAGAAAGAGTGAGATTTTGAAAAGCTCCACATGTGTCTTATGTAAGGGGCATACAAATGAAAGGCCTTGGCAAGGGTGAGGGGCTGTTGGTGAAGTCATACAAGGAGCTTACATTTGCTTATGACTCTATGAGCTTTTATCTAGGACACGTGCTTGCATGTGGAGTCTAGTGTCAGATTAAGGCCCCCACTGGCCACTTGGCCAAACAAAATGGATGTCAACCAAGGCAGCAATACCATAGAGTAGCTTAACTAAACTCTCAATACCAGAGTGCTGTAAATATATAGCACAAATCTTCTTTTAGTGAGTCACGGTGGAAGTTGAAGTCTCAAGATAACCCATAGACTTAAAAAGTAAGAAAAGGGGCTTCCTGGTTGTTCAGTGGCTAAGAATCCATGCTTCCAATGCAGGGGGCCCAGGTTTGATCCCTGTTCAAGGAACTAGATCCCACATGCTACAACTAAGAATTTGCCTGCCACAACTAGAGATACCACACACCTCAACAAAGATCGAAGATCCTGCATGCTGAAACTGACTTTGTGCAGCCAGATAAATAAATAAATAAATAAATAAATATTACCCCCCAAAGTAAGAATATAGAGGGACTGAACATCTTCTGATTCACACCGTCCCTTCAGTCAAGGCCACACCAACATGCCCAACATACAATTTCTCTACTTTTGAGGTGGTGATGTGATGGATGTTGGACTCAGTGGTCGTCTGAATCAAGTATCATCTGGCTGAAAAGAGCAGAAACATTTAAAATAGGTAAAGCAGAAAAGGGTGATTTATTATAAAGTTATAGGGATATTTCATAGAACCAAATATAGGCAAGATGACAGGACCTCAAGAAGAACTGTAGCCAGAAACGAAGGCAGTAATGACCTACTTGAGCAAATGGCAGACATGAACTAGTATGTGTGATTCTCAGTTTGAAGTTCCCAGGATTGCTTACCTGCTGTAGTTTGAGCCAAGTGTCTCTGTACCTGGTCTGGTCCAGACTAGGAGGTCATGCTACTCAGTACAAACAAGGCTTCAGGGGCCACTCCTGTAAGTGAAGGGGTGGCTTGCAGAAAGGGACAAGACAGCCAGCCCTGGGTATATCCATTCTAGTGACTGAATACATACAGATAACACATTTACTACTTCTTCTAGGAGCGTGGCCCTCAAGACACTATGTGTAATAAGTAAACCCAAGTGCTGCTTTTTAAAGAAATGCAAAATAGATCTCTGGATAGGTAAGTTGGGGGTAGGAGAGAAAACTTGAAGGCACAATATCAGAAAGACAAAACAGCAGATTTTAAAATATTGTATTTAAAATATATATATTTTACTTATTAAAAGGTAAAAACCTAGTTTGAGCACATGGTTTTCTAGGAAAGAAAATTGACTCAGGAAGATGGAGAAAAACTGAAAACATACTAACAGCCATGGAATGTATTTGAAAATAATGTCTCCCCAATAGCTGCTAGACCAAAGAGATTCCATGTATGAATTAAATAAAATCTTCAAGGAACTTGAAAATTTATGCTATTTTAGATGTATAAAAATATAATGTTTATTTTACTAACAAGCAACTGGATTTCCCTGATACCAAATTCTGAGCACAAATGCAGAAAACCTGAATGATAAAGGAACAAATAATATCCAGCTAAATTAACACAAAGAAATATATACCTAGAGAATTTGTCAGGGGGTACTTATTGTAGCCAAATAGAATTTCTTCCAAGAATTCCAGGAATGGTTTATTAGGATGCTTCATAATACAATTAAAGCACTCTAGTGGGTAAAAAGAAAGAAAAATTCACAATCAGCTGGATGACTTTTAAATTAAGCTTTGATGGAAATCAGTGTCATTTCTGAAAACAAAACACTAAATTAGGACTAGTGGATAGTGTTTTTTATTTATCTGACTAGATTTCTACATTATGTTTAAGCAGCATTTAAAGCCCACTGCAGTTATTAGTATTGTTCTGGCAGTCACAGCCAATGCAATAAGACAAGAGAAAAGTGAAACTAGACACAGATTCTGAAAAGAAGTTCCCTTTTTTTCATGATTAGCAGATGATAGTATTGTCTGCCCACAAAACCAGAGAATCAATCAACAGTCTAGGAACTAATGAGAAGGTTTCAAAGAGTTTGGCTGAGGGAAAGATACCTACACACACACACACACACACACACACACACACACACACAATAACCAGTTAAGAATATTGTGTATTGTTACAAATATTACACATGGAAGAAGGTTGTTTATGACAAAAATAAAATGCTAAGCACCTAAATAAACACCCAGAAAGAATGTGTATGAAGTGTCAAACTTTACTAGATTATGTAAACAAAGGCCTGAATGATGGAGGGCATGGCATATACCTGGTTGTCAACTCTCCTCAAATTAATCTGTTCCTTTCATTCAATTAAATGGAAACACTAATAAAAAGAAAAATCTTGACTTTTAAGGTTCATCTGGAGATTGATGAGAATACTGGAGAAAATTTTGAATTGGAGAATAAGATTGTATTAAAATGTAATGTAAGTTTATAATAATTAAAAGTATAGTACTGCTATAAGAAAGATCAGTGGAGTAGAATAAAAAAATCCATAAAATTTTGCTGCTGCTGCTGTCACTTCAGTCGTGTCCGACTCTGTGCGACCCCATAGATGGCAGCCCATCAGGCTCCCCCATCCCTGGGATTCTCCAGGCAAGAACACTGGAGTGGGTTGCCACTTCCTTCAATGCAGGAAAGTGAAAGTGAAAGTGAAGTCGTGTCTGACTCTTAGCGACCCCATGGATTGCAGCCCACCAGGCTCCTCCATCCATGGGATTTTCCAGGCAAGGGTACTAAAGTGGGTGCCATTGCCTTCTCTGATAAAATATTTGAGCTTGTTATATAATAATATGACACTTGAATCCGTGTCACATTTCTTATTTAAGAAGCAGTATTGGGATAACTGGGTAGCCATTTGGAAGATAGTTCTTCCCTCACGTATATCAAAATGTCTCAACATGCTTACAGAGTTAAATGCTAAAAATAAAACCACTTTATGGCTATAGAATGGTCAGAATTTTCTTGGCATGACACCAAGACAGAAAACATAAAGGAAAGTATTAAGAAACTGGACTATATAAAAATGTAAGAGCATTTGTACACTAAAAAAATTATAATAGTGAAGCAGAAGTTAAAGTAGATTATGATATGTGCAACACAAATAGTCAAACATTAACTATCCTTAATTTGTAAAGATCTATAAGATGTAAATAATGAAGAGACAGACACTCTGATAACAAATTGGGCAGTGAGCATGAAAAAACAATGTGCAAAGCAGAAGTTCGAATGGACAATCTACAAATGAAAGAAGTGTTCAACTCAGTAGCACTTTGTGAAAAAAAAAAATGAAGTAAAATAGTGATAGTACTTTTTCACTGATGAAATTAGGAAATGTGAAAATATCCTCCTTAGGTAGTATTATGACCGTTAATTGGTCTAATTGTTCTGAAAGAAAACTCGGCTATTTGCTGAAAAGTCTTAGATTCAGTCACATTCAGACACTGCTTTTTAGAAAGCAAATTCAAGGAAATAAAAGGGTAGATGTGTATTTAACTTCAAAGATATTTAATATAGTTTTGTTTGAATATTTTAAAATGCAAACAAACAAATATCCAATATT